CAAATAAGTCACCTGACTGCTGACAGGGGTAAGACCATGGTCCCCCAACTCAATATTAAACAGAGATGAGACAATGATAGAGAAATATGCATGTGATTTATTAGAATCTAGCCATCTTTTGTGACTTCCTTTGGGCGCTCGCAGATACCGCGCTGATCTTTTCGGTGTTCGTACGAGTGTTTCAAAATCTACATGAGTAATTCCAAAGCTGGTGCCATAACCGCCAGACCATTCTATATGTGAGGTTAGTGAATCATAGGACCGGCAAATTTACTCTTGACGAGGAATGAAGAACGCGTCAACAAAACATACCAAAGTTGTCCATCAAGCTCCAGGCATAATACCCTCCAACCTTGACCCCGTCTGCATAGATGGCGTTCGAGATAGCATCGAGGTAAAGCCCAAAATATCGCACCCGGAACTTGTCATCTACAGCTTCCTCTGCAGTCATTGCGTCTTCTCCTGGACAAGGGCACCCGTTTTCTGTTATGAAGATTGTCCTGTGGTAACGGTTTCAGAGCCAAGCGAGCAATTTGCGGGACTGAATGGGGTGACACGCAACCATGATACCCCTGATACTACGCCTGGTGAACAGGCGAGCAAAGACTGACAGTCTGACTCTGCTTCTCTTCGTCCCCCACTGCACTGCACTGCATATAAGGAGGCCGATATCCGACCTTTGACGTGGATTATGTTTTGTTGTTGTCAAGATTCTTCACCTTAAGTTATCAATTTCAAAGGGAAATCTACATCCTATCACCCGCATCCCAGATGGAGAACGCTCGCCCGGAGACAGCGAAGGCACAGGCCATCAAACAGGATGGCGATCATGTCGAGGAAGCAAAAGCTATGGAGGTCGATGCCGAAGGTTTGCCAATTAGCTTCGCTGGTATGACTCTCGAGAATGTTCTTCTCGACCTGGGCAAACCATCGTACAAGGTGCCTCACCTTCACAAGTTGAACTTCGTCCTACTCGCCGCCCTGCTCACTACTGCAACAAATGGTTTCGACGGTAGCATGATGAACGGTCTGCAGACACTACCGCTTTGGCAGGAGAGTAAGCAGCATACGATATCAACCCCATAAAACAAGCGACCTAACAAAACGATGTATAGATTTTGATCACCCTAGTGGCGGTACCTTGGGCGTTCTGAACACCACCAACACCATCGGCTTTATTTGCGCGCTTCCATTTACCGGCTACCTCTCCGATAAGTTAGGTCACCGCAGGCCTATCCATGTTGGAAGCGTTATTACGATCATCGGAGCTGTGATTCAAACCGCTTTGCAGAACATCGGCATGTTCTTGGCAGCACGTTATCTTCTCAGATTTGGTCTCTCCGTTGCAAGTGTTGCGGCACCAGCTTTTGTCTCCGAGCTTGCATACCCGAGCCAGCGTGATAGAGTCACAGCTCTTTATAACACTAACTGGTTTGTTGGTGCCATCATTGCTGGTAAGTGAAGATAGTTAAGACTGACTTTGTACTCAACATATAAAGTACTGACTGCGTCGGGAATTAGCATGGGGTACGTTCGGAACATTTCACATCCAAAACTCGTGGTCGTGGAGAATTCCTTCCGCCCTCCAAGCTCTCCCATCCATCATCCAAATAAGTCTGTCTTGTTGGATCCCTGAGTCACCTCGATGGCTCATTTACAAGGACCGCCGTGATGAGGCGATCCAGATTCTGGCAAAGCATCATGCCGGTGGCGACATGCAAAGTCCCCTCGTTCTCTATGAGATTGCAGAGATCAGTGCTGCCTTGGGGGCGGAGAAATTGCAAAGCTCTAGCAGCTACATGGAATTTTTCCACACAAGCAAGTTTACCTGCGTGTTGAGAGCATGGTCCATATGCTAAGAATGTCTTCAGAGGGTAACCGCCATCGATTCTTCATCATGATTGTGCTCGGCATTATGCAACAACTCTCCGGAAACCAATTGATCAGTTACTATCTGCACTTGATTCTAGACCAAGTCGGCATCACTGATGGCACCGCTCATATTGGCACCAATGGTGGCCTTCAAGTATTCAACTACATCGCCGCACTCTCGTCTGCCGTGCTTGTCGATCGAATCGGAAGACGTACACTAATGTTGTACTCTTTCGTCGGCATGTTTTTCTCGTATCTCATTTGCAAGACCCACCTAGCAGATCTTCATTAGATGATTAGCTAAGTCATATGCAGGGACAAACATTGGAGAAGATTGCTGAGGTGTTTGACGGAAAAAACGCCTTGATCGGCGACACAGAGAAGGAGGTCTCTAACATTCGCGAGGAGGTGGTGACCATGAAGCACTGATGAGCAGGCAATACAACGAAGTTGGTATACGGTCCCTTCCTACTGGAGAGACTGGTAGAGGTTATCGAACTAAGAGCGTCGTGTATGGTAGGGAAATAAGCTTTCCCTTGGAAATGATTAGAATGGGTATCGTGTTCCCTGTCACAAGTCAGTTTTCGTGTCTGGACTCCGGAGTGGCCATCCTGGAAACATCCTGGAGACTGTCCCGGAACGAAGTAACCCTGAAAGGTTCCCCGGCTGTGTCCCCTCTTCCGCACGACAAGGGCCCTTGCCCGGTGTATTCGCTTGATGGGCTTCCCGACATGCAAGACATACACTTGGCCAATCAAAGCCACAGAGGTAAGGCCCTTTCCCCTTGGCAGGCTCGTGCCGGCCCTTGACCCCGCGGGTCTGTCCTTCATCCTTGCTTACTCCAGCCACCAACCACAGGGATTCGCTGTATCTCTCGCCGCTCTGAGGGCTGATCCCACCAAATCCTGCCAGCTTCGAGCCAACACCTACAAGGGGTCGGTGATGAGATGACAATTGCATGCTGTACATTGGACATCTGTGAGACACATAAAAGGGACCTAGAGCCCCATCTGGGGTATCGGACGTGCTTTTTGCTCTGGACTCTCACCACCTATGCATTGATCCCAGAGCTTTTCAGCTCAAATACATTGAACGGGACGAGTTCTGATTAACTTACTTCTAGAAGAGCTCGCTCGCAGAGTCAGACTGCAGAAATAAGTCGCGGAATACCTGGTGTATCAGATAGGGTGGTGAAATCACAGACGGGGCTGCAAAAGTGTATACTCTATCACCTGAACCTTTGGACTCTGATGTATATCGAGGCCTCCTCTAAGAAACTGGGGATCTCGCTTATCGATTTGTACAACTTCTTTTGTTAGCCTAGGGCAACGTTTACTCGTCATTTCGCCCATCATCAACATTACTCAGCTCCCACACCCAAGACTTAGACCATGTCCCCGACAATCAGCATTGAGAGCGCGTCGTCGTTTCTAACAGCTAACAATGCCATCCGTTTCCTTGGGCTGTGGCTCGGGTATCGTTTACTCCGCGCCCTGTATAATATCTCACCATTCCATCCTCTCTACAACTTTCCAGGCCCAAAGCTAGCCGCAGCATCATTCCTCTATGAGGCCTGGTACGACTTGATTCAGGTGGGAAGATATAGTTGGCAAATCAAGGCAATGCACGAGAAATATGGTATGTGTTCCCTTAATCCCCGAGTCAAGGAAGCTTGCTAACAACGCAAGGGCCAATCGTGCGCATCAACCCGGAAGAGCTTCATTGCGACGACTATGCCTTTGTCGATGAGATTTATCCGTCGGTAGGCAATCGAATACGCGACAAACATCCCCACTTCCTGGCATCATTTGCTGGCCCGCTCACAGTATCTTCGTTCGCAACTGTTGATCATGAGGTATGTTTTGCCGGAACATAATTTCTCTTTCGAGTGTGAACTAGGCACTCACTGTTGTCAAAGACTCATCGCCTCCGAAGGAGTGCCATCAGCAAGTTTTTTTCCCGGCAAGGAATGCTCCGATATGAACCAGAAATTCATGAGATGGCACAAAAGATGTGCAGCAAATTTTTGCAAGTAGCTGAGACCGGTCAAGTTATAAATGCGTTAGATCCATTCAATTGCTTCACTGCCGATGCCATCTCCCAATACTGTTTTGGCGAGCCGTTTGGTACCCTTCCCTTTAGTCCCCGTTCAACCTCGGTGTCAGCCTAATCACCATGTGTGCAGGATTTTTAGATAGATCTGACTTCGAGCAAAACTACAAACGCGCATTTGAGACTCTTGTCGCAACCACTCATTTATTCCGCCATATCCCAGTTCTACGACATCTTATTAGCTTGATGCCCGCCCTTGGTCCTTATTTGGGACCCGATATTGCCTACATGGTCAAATCTATGAACGAGACGATTCCTAACCATGTCATCAAAGCACAGCAGCAGAAGTCTGACGGAACATGGCGCCTTTTCACTGGGATCATGAATGCACCGATACCTGATGAGCATAAAACCATTTACCGCCTTTCTGGTGAAGGCTGGTCCGTGGTAGCCGCTGGGTCCGAGACGACAGCTGTGTGTAATAGCAGATGTTTGGATTATGGGACTAAAGGCTGATGCATCTTTCACAGGCTTCTCTGACCGTCATTACATTTTTTCTCTTATCTCAGCCCGAGAAGCTTGCACGCCTGAGGGAAGAGCTCAAGAACGAGGATCCGCACAAGCTCAGCTGGGTTCAGCTTGAGAAATATCCATACCTTCATGGGGTTATCTATGAGGCTTTCCGCGTTGGCTTGGGCATTTCCGGCCGCCTTCCGCGAGTAGCTCGGGATGAAGCACTGGTTTACAAGGGTCGCGGATTCAACTATGTTGTGCCTAAAGGAACTGCTATCGGAATGAGTGCTTTTATCAATCACTACAACGAGGAGCTTTTCCCGGACCCAGAGAAGTACGAACCTGAACGATGGATTGACGCCCAGGGAAAACCTAATCACGCAATGGAGAAGTACATCCTCTCTTTCTCCAAGGGATCTCGCCAGTGTATTGGAATGAAGTGAGTACTTGGGATTCTATTTACTTGAAAGGCAACGCTGATAGGAACGCACAGCCTTGCACTCTGCGAACTTCATTTGGTTACTGCAGCTATGGCCCTCCGTGTCTTGCCTCACCTCAAGCTCTACGATACCACGTATGAGGATATCCGCTATGACTTTGATGCCCTGACTCCCCAGCCCAAGAAAGGCGCTCGTGGGGTCAGGGTCACAGCTGTTTAGACCACTGAGTGAGCTGAATCGGCCCTGAAGCGTAAAGCGTGTAGCAACTGCTTTCGAACACATTTATGCGGTTAATTGGGATACGATGGTCTGGTTTTGACCTTGGTCATCTACTTCCGTTACAATGAGAAGTGTGGCTGTCTCAACCAATCGATCTGGTGTAAGGATCTCGTACCCATAGAACGATCTTTCAAGTTCAAAATTAGGAGCGTAATTGCATTGTATTAGACATATAATCCACACATTCTATGGCCCCCTTTCCCATATATCTAATTTCTATAGTACTACAATGATGCCGATCATTTTCAATCATAGCTTGCTCTTGACCTGCTCCCTGCCATCTTTCTTGAAGAGGGACTTGCTGTCGGGATACGGGTCAAACACGACCTTGTTCAGCGGGTTCAGCTCGCTGGCGCGGTAGAATAGGTCCTCGTACACCTTGCCGTCGTACCTGCCCAAGCTCGAATCCAGCTGCCAGTCGGGGAACTTCCATGCATCCACCAGCCTCACGGCATGCGGCCGAATCTCCTCCAGGAGAGTCTTGACGGTTCGAGTCCTAGCTAGCTGAATCTGCCTCACTGTGCACGCGCCACTGGTGAAGAATTCACTTGCCTCGCTCTCGAGCGTGTGCAGCGCGAATAGTCGGAACAGCTTCTGCAGCACATCTCTCGTTTCTGCATCCAGTGACTTAGTGGTGCCTAGTGTCGTCAGTGCGTCATGGAAATTCTTCACTACCAGGTATTGGGCCTGGGCGGTGCTCAGCCGCCAGAAGTCAACGAGCAATGAGTTCCAGCTCTGATGCTCTTCGTCACGGTGGCGCAGAGCTTCGAAAGTAAGGAAGGCGACGCGCCAGGCAAAGGCGGCAACGATGTCAGAGTCGGAGCCGAGCACATCGAAGGCTGCGCCCATATCTTGTCGACGCTTGAAGTCCTTTAGGATACGAGCTGTGTCGTTGTCAGACTGAGAGGGCTGTAGGTTTCCGGACTTGAGGACTGCACGTGCTGATTTGAGCAAGTACCGCGCGACTTGCTGCGTGAGCATGTAGTTGTCGCCTTCCCATGTCAAGGTCGGCAGGTAGTCCGCGTACCAGGTACCAATACCGGAGAATGAGCTGTAGCCGTGGCCACCGCAGGCACGTCTGCACACCTCGAGACCTTCACCAGCAAGCGTTGATGCATATGCCTTGAGAGCGCATGAAGTCGAGTGCAGGTCGGCCAGCAGATCTGCTCCAGGTTGAAGTTCTTCGGGCCCTGCATTTCGTGAAGCTTCAGAGGGAGACTTCTTGTTGTTCATGGCGGCCTGGTTTGCTTCATACAGCTCAATCATGCCACGGCCTGTGAAGTGAAGCGCGAATGTTGTGGCAAGGAGAGGTAGTAGACGCTGCTGGACCATGGTGTAGTTGAGGACTTGCGTTTCACCCTTCGTTCCCTTAGGAGCATCTCGATCCTGGAACTGTCGTCGGACAGCACAGTAGCGAGTGGCGATGGTGACACCACGAGCCAGCGTGTTGCCGGCATTGAGCACGATGTTGGAGCGGACCCATGTGAGTGTGCCATAGACGAGGTTGGGATTCGAAGGTCGAACGTATTCATTAGTCTCAGGAATGATCCGGGAGAACTTGGCTAGCATGTGAGAGTGGGGCACTTTAAGATGATTGAAGAGCAAAAAGCCATTGTCCATCGTGTTGTAGCCGAACTTGGGACCAATATCGCCCACATGCACGTTCTCAAGCGGCTCGTGGGTCTTGAGATCTCGGATCTGAACCACGAACGGATGTGGCCCGTACGGCTTACCCCCGATGATCAGCTGTGCCATCACGACCGCATGATTTGCGGCGATTCCGAGAGAACCAATCCACCACTTCGCTGCTGTGAGTGTCGGGGAGTGCAGTGTAAAGGTCTTGTCCTGGGGATTCCAAGTAGCTGTGGTCTCCAGGCCTCTGACATTGGAGCCATGGCCCAGTTCCGTTTGAGCGTAGCAGCCAATGAACTCGTAGTTCTCCGCCTTCTCTAGGAAGCGCTTCTTTTGCTCGGGCGTGCCCTGCTCTCGAAGAGTCTTCAAAAACATGCTCGCGTGCAGACCATATGGAGTTGGCTCGGCGATCAGGTCATTGGCGACCATGTATTCGTCTTCGGACCATTTGTGCTCGACCGAGAGCTGCCGTAGCCTCTTGCCTCTTGCCAGAGCGGCCTCAATCCGGCTCTCTCTGCCGCGAAAATAGTTCTGTGACTTATCAAAGACGGGGTCATTCTGTAAGATCTTCAGGATTGCCGCGTTCCGCTCGAGGACCTGGTTTGTGAAGAGGTGCTCTGCAAGCTGGTCGACATTCAGGGCTGATCCGTCGCGCTCGGCTTGTAGCAGCGCCGACCCTTGCGGCCCGGAGGGCTTAAGGGCCTTGACCCAAGCTGGATTCTTGGCCATGCTGATTGAGTGTCTGCAAAAGGGTCCAAATGAGCGCGTGCAGTGTTTGAAGAAGGTCGCGTCGTGTCGTGAGCAAAGGGACGGGCATTTAATGCTGTGGTTTCGGCGCTTTCGGTCGTCGTGTTCTGAGCGCTAGCCGCGAGCCGAGGTCCATTTCCAGTCACCTCATCCGACCCACTCCGCCTCGGCTCCAATCCATGACGAGTATTAGTCTGGTATTCCTCGCTCTTCAGAAGTGCCTCAGCTAGATCTTATCTAATCTCTTGGCATCAGCTCTGAGAACCGAGGGGATCGGAAGACTCAATTGCACCTTCAGAAGGATGGTCATGTGCTCACGTGCTTGGAATTGAACGGCTGATATCGCTCTTTAGCAAATCCATCTTCAATCTCATTAAGTCTCTGAATCTCTTGAGTCTCCCAAACTTGTGTCTCCGCACTGGGGTTGCCCGCTGACTTTCTGGGGGCCCCCCATTAACTTAGCGATCCTGGTGCACTGGCTTAACACTGATAGTTGCCAGCTAGGTAGATGCGTACAATTGCAGAGGGATTCAAAACTGTGTCTCGCGATCGTACGCGGCTCTCCAAGCTATGATTTCTTGCGCACAACAGCTTCAGTTCTTACAAGGCACCCCCTAGAGTTGTGATCTGTATCTCGAGGTCACAAACAGCAGATTTTCACAAATGTGGCTGAATTAGCTAACTTTTAAATCATGGACTCTATGCTCTAAGCTCGGAGAAAATAATTTGCCATATATGCCGTTCATATAATGCCACGACTTAAAACTTGGAACGCCTCGCTTTACGATACAATAAGTAAAATAACGCTCATTTATCCTCTTTAAAGAATTATCTTAGAAACTCATGAACATCATGTGGAGAGCTAGCCCTACTAGCACCCAAGCCATGTTTGACACTAATGATGTGGAGGAATTGTCTTTGGTGTCTCCTCCGATCGCAACAGTCTTCCCTTCGCACACATATCTGTCTTTAATTACGCCCTTGATGCGAAGATCATCCAGCAGTGAACAGTTGAAGATGTCTAACGAGTCTACTTCAAGATTTCCAATAGACTCTATGCCTGGATCGATTCTTTCACCAGAGGCCGTGCCCGTCTCGCTATTCATGCATTAGCTAAGAAGGGGGATGGGATGAACAGTTGCTCACAAGAAATCGGTCCCAATAATGTTCCCAGTGAATGTCATGTTGTTAATAGTCTTGATGCCCCAGGGCCACTGCCTGATCATGGCATGATAAATGACGCCGAAAGTGTTGAGGTGACGGTTCTGGCTTATGTCTATGGTGTTCCACGTAGTGGATGTCATGTTATCCGGGAGGAAAATAGTGTCAAGTTTTGGATTGCTCACAATAATGAGATTATTGGTGATGGTCATATTTGTGATCTGCAGCGCGTAGAAATCATTTGCTCGGAATGTCGCAGAGCTCACAGTGGCGTAGAGTTTGTAGATAGAACTAAGCCCAGCCCCAACGAGAGTGAAGGACGAGTCCTGGGCAGAGATATTGGTAAGCTTGTCGATATCAAGATTTACCAAAGCAGCCGCCCACGTCAACTTGAAGTTGGCAACAGACGTCAGGTTTGAAAAGGTGATATTTTCGACATTCGACAGCGTTTCAAGATTGAGGTCACCTCCAATGCTCTTCAGTTGTGTAAACGATAGTGACAACATGTCCTGGACACCATCGATATTGAAATCACCCGAGACAGTTTCTAAGGTCGCGCTGCTCAGTGATCTAATAGATGGGAACCCATCGCTTCTTAGGGAGCCGTTGATGGTTTTGATACCATCTAATCGGATATCGCCTGTCGCTGACTTCTCAATCACAATATCTCCATTGACAATTGAGCAACTGCCGCTGAGTTTATCCGCATCATCTTGTGATGTTATATTTGTAGCACCACATGATGTTTGCGCCGAAACCAGCCCAATTCCTACCCATGAATTGGTCAACAATCTAACACAGTCTTGAACTAGAGCAAAAGCAGTCTTACCTCCTGCAATAAAAAATCGAATCAAGTTGAGGGATACGCGCATGGCTGCGGCACGATGACTGCCGCAAGTTGACTTGCGAGAACTTGGTAATCTATCGCAAAGTGAAATGAAGTGAAAGAATGCGACAGTCGCAAATTGAAGACAGGCAGAAAAACTTTGGAATTGGGGAAGGCAGGCAGCCGAGTTGAGTCTTCAAATGTCAGATAATCCTTCGAGGATCTTGGACAACCAACACGAATTGCCTGTTTCAGAAGTCCCAGCTGCGCCGCGGGGCTTCCAGGTCGCATCCTCTTATGTGCTGCTAATGCCTGGGGTCATCCAAAAATTAGGTTGTTGGCACCCTGTTTATGTTTATCAGTATCGAATGGCAAACCGCACCTGAATTGCGGTGGGCGCTCGCTTCCACAGTGTCGGGTCCAAACCGTTGCATTCGGCGGCAAGTATCATGCCTCTCAGCCAAACGACCTTCTGTAGCCGCCCACCAATCAGTCTTGGCAGTGGCTTTGCATGGCCATCTCTGCGCAAATGACTTGTTCACTGCTCGCTTCGTCGCAGCGGTCCAAGCAGCTCGAAGCACTCGAATGGTTTCAGAAGGAACCAACTTTAAGCGCGTTACACCGGTGGTCCGGGATCATGAACAGTCTGCTATGGGAGAGCTTGAGCAGCCTACATGTTTTTCAGTCCACCATGCATGTCGTCGAAAAATTTCCGTGCAAATCATCTTCTTCTCCCACGGCCACCTTCACAACGACTTTCCTAGCATCCAACAACTACTGAACACTGTTGACAGGTCCGAAGCGCGGATGTAACCACCAACGCAGCGGTGACCAACTTTACGGTCAGCCTTAAGCGCTGCGACGTCGCATTCCTGCCTGAAGACCTTGGCATGCAAGCAGCTCGACAAGGCTGTACGTGATTTCATGATAGAAGTTAATTGATCTTTGCGGTCATCGCGAAAGGTTCACGGAGTAAGATTGAGTGTCGAGAGCTTTCAATCAAGCAGACAGCCAATTATTTATGTCAAGGGCGCCTAAAATAAAGCTAAACTGTTTAGCACTTTTGATCGAGACTGCAAGGACTCGCGCATGTTGCTACCAACAGGTAGGAGGTTATATATGGCGCTTCACCCCTTAGCGCTGGACATTGCGTTGAGCCTCATGGGGAGTCAACACTTTAGCCGCTCTATAACCACATTAGGGCATGCTAGTCATGCTCATTCGGCGAAGAACTTAACGAGCCGCTTCGCTATGCTGTTAGTTGTCGTCTGAAACAAGATGACGGTCGACAGCCTCCAGGCCGGCGTCTATGTTCTTGGCCTCCCCCCTCCCCCCTTCGCTGAAGCCAGTGTTGGGACTTGCCGGTCAACTTGTGAATGTTGGTTTGGGGGGAAATGAATGTGCATTCTACTCTCTAGTACGGTAGAGTAATAAAATCATGTTCCTTTCTGCAACGACGAAGAATACACATTTTCAAGTTTCATAGACTATTGCTTGGTTCTCATTGCACATTGTGAGTTTTGGCCGCTTCCGTTCACATTTCACTTTTCCTTTAGCGATACGTCTTTGCCCACCATGCGACTGCTATCGATTACTGGTGTCCTGACGACAATCCTTTGTCTTGGGCCGCTTGACATAGTTTCAGCTCGCCACCTTGGAGCCAGAGAACAATGGACGGAACTTACTTCTATTTATGCGAGAAAGGAACCTTGCGCCAATATAGCACCTGATGCCAATAATAATGAAACTTTTCCAGCGTACGCTGCAAGCCAACGTGGGGTGCCCTCCTTTCTGGATAGCATTTTGAGAAACCGCATCATCCCAAAGCATGGTAATACCAGTGAGTAACCATCAGATTTATTTATTAACATCTTAAACAAGAATCAGACTGATTCATCTTTAGAGAATTGGTTAAACGGATTTTACGAGGTTTTCAGCTATGAAGGCTCATCAATCGATCTTATACAACCTCCAGACTGCATGAATCTTGAGTCTACAACGTGTCAACCAACTGACGATGATCTCTGCCATCAGTTAGCGCCAGTGTATTGGACTCTTAATACCGTCTTCAACTTTCACGATCATATGCACATTATCAACTCGGCGTTCAGGGATACATTGTACAATGACAGTTTCCATATCCAGGCACTCAGTGATGATTTCCCAATACAGACCGGTGCGCCTGTTGTTAATTCTCTTGGGCTGCTGAACAATGTTGCAGCTTCAATGGGTATTTTGGGTGATGCTATGGGCTTGGGTCCCGAAGGAGTAGGATTCAGCAGTGGCTTGATTGGCGTTGTAGGGGGTATCTTAGGGCAAGTTGCCTCGAACCTCGAAGAGGATGAGAAAGACACTAAAACTATGGAGACTACGCTGCTCAGACGCACGAGCACCATCTTCAGTGCCATCACTGTCTCTTTTGCAAGAATACTGGAGGCTGTCTTCATGGATGGCGATCTTAAAAACTTCCCTAGGATTGTGCTTCCCGGCCCGACAGACTATAATCTCTCAATATCAGCCTTCTTCGACAACGGCAACTTCTTCTATGGCACACCGTACACGATCGGCTCTACAACCGACCTCATAGAGACCATTAGTGCTCGTCTATTGCAGCTCCTTACGGGAGTTGTACTCATTGAAGCCAACTGGTATGTGCTCAAAGATGCCTACACCGCCGATAATTGCCCGACAAATAATACGGGTCGCGTTGTCGATGGTAGCTGCTTCACACTCGAGCACCCAGGTCTAGGAGGAAAGGCTGGTGGGGCCGATCGTCGTGGTGAATACTCTCTTCAGATGGACGAGGCTACGTTGGATAAGGTGTACTTGCGCAAAGTAGTGCTCGAAGATCTTTATCGCAGCTCCAATGATTGTCAAAAGAAGAGCAAGGCATACAACACTCAAGGAAGCATGCCCATCACTAGTTTTCAAAGCGAGAAGACCAAGGCTTGCTTTTACAACCTTCCCGTCTTGACCGTCACCACTCATCGTCTCGATGATATCCCGTATAAGGCGTCGCCTTGTTCCGTCTACTTTGCCAACAAGACCGCAGTCCAGGATAAGAAGGAGCCGGAGGTCGGTGTCACCTATCTTCCGCCCAACTTGGATCCCATCTTCAGTGAACCAGGCTTTTGTACCATTGATAAGTTCACCGGCAACCCTGGGACTGATTGAGTCCAGAAATCTGTGCGGGTTGATTCTGTAATGATATCTGTATGCGTTTTGAGTCATTTGTTGGAATACCAGGCAAGGAGCGATACCCTGGAATGGGCGGAACATGTAAAGATGCTTGCAGTTTGCATGATAGCGAGGTGTTAGGCGTGGAGGGTATTAAATTTGTTTGTAGACTATTGAATTGGAGCTGTCATGTTTCCTTATTATCCCTATGCTACACAATCAGAATCCTCGCATTTCTAAGGCGAGTCGCAAGTTATATACTACACTGTGTCCCCGATATTCCTTTTTCGAAGATCTTTCAAAACAATTATGCCATAAGCTACACCTAAGTACACCCTACACTTGCAAGAAATCACTCCAATACGCCCAATCCAAGCCATCATCTATGACTCCAAGACTATCGAAACCTTGAGGGTCTACCACGGAGGACATTTGAACCCTCTCCGTAGGCCCATTTTGTCTCTTGCCCCATAGTGACTGAATAAACGGCGGTGAAGCCATGTTTTGACTGGGATCATGCATACGCGCTAACTCCTTTCTGCGTGCTTCCCAAGCTTCCAGAGTAAGATCACCAAGAGCAACAAAAAAGGTACTTTCGATATCATTGATTAACTCAGGGTGCTCGTCGTAAAGTTTCTCGATGAGTTTCCAGGCTAAATCAATCCTTTCCCCATAACAACGTCGCCGTAAGTCACTAATGACATAAATGTAAGCGTCTAAATGGAAAGTAGCTGTCATGTGGGTGCTGGAGAAAAGGTGCGACGAGAATTTGCTACTCATGCCTATATCCGTCATCTCCAAAGTCGTCAGAGCCGCTTCGAAGAGGGTGTCAAGCTCTTCTTGCGTCATCAATACCTCACCAGCACCCACTCCAGCTCGTCCCCTGGGATGGTAGATCTTGAATCGCATGCGAGCGATTGTGAGTCTTGCCATAGCAATCGTCAATCCATGGAGCGGTATCCGTTCGTCGCAAACACGATAGTACTTCTCTGTATAAATAGCCTCGAGCTCATTGATCGCGTCGTTCTCTAGCTTCATTGACACTTTGTCTCTCAGTGGAACGTGTGCAATACTGTTAAAGACCTTGGCCGCTGTAGTTGAACTACGGAACCAGCTAGAAACCCCAAACTTCATCAATATGCACAGCATCTCGGTGGGACTGCTATGCTCGATCGGGGGCTCTGTCATATCTGGATGCAGATCCGCGTCATTGACATTCAGTGGGAGACGGAGATCATTGAAGTCCGACAGCGATGGCTTCCATCCCGGAGTGTATATACTGCGGGACCGAGAGTTCATCGCGCGCAGCTGCCACCACAGTCGAAGACGCATCTCTTTCTCAAAGAATGAAAATTTTGAGTCATTAAGATGAGCGCGGTGTAGTCCCATCATGTGGCCCAATCTCAGTGCAGCACCTATCAAGGTGGCTGTTAGCTCGGATTCTGGATCCGCGAAAAGAAAGAGCGCAAATGCTTGCATGACCTCAAAATCTCTCGTGGTCAAGAAGTCTGCAGCAATGAGAGCTCTGAAGGTAGCAACTCGGTAGCGCGCCAACAATATGCCCCTGCTCTCATTCAGAGTGTTCTGGCACTCCTCCGATGACATGGTCGTGACGGCTAAAGTATAGACTGCGAATAAGATCGCTTCCAGAGACTTGGATGCATGGGTGACATCCCAGCTTGCATCCATGACGCGCTGCTGCAAGGTCGGCACATGAACAATCTTAGTCAAAGGATTTGCACATTCCACAAAAGTCTGCCAGAATCGGTAGATTATTCTGGGTTCGGGATGTAACTGGTGGAGTTCTGCGTGCTCAGTGGTAAGGATGCTCTGTAGCGATGGCGTTGGCTGCAAGAACGGGTCGTCCCTATAGCGCAAGTTTTGAATCGGCGGATGCTTGAGCTTCAAAAGGAGTTACATTAGCTATGAACCACATGAACATCTTAGTTTTGCAGGGAAATGATCACCTCTGGGCTCAGGTTGGACCACAAACAACTGCATTATGAAGTTAACTGATGAGCAGTAACCTGAAGACATGCTTGGGGTTTTTCTCACCGTTCCACATCGGAAGTAATGTTCTCCGGCGTATATGCCGTCGTAGACCATATGGAGACTTCGCTTTCCAAATCTGCCTCCTTCAACTTACCCTCCAACCCTGAAGGGACCCACGTATTCACGTAGGGAGCGAAGTCGACGTTGTGCTTTCTCATTAGATCTTCATATCTGGCTAGCCGGACAAGGATATCTTCGTCGGCGGCTCGTTTGCGAGGTCGAGGTGGAGGAGGTGGCTCATATACACACTGGGTTCGAGCCTTAAGACAGTTTGAACAGGGGTCGCCTTTGTCGCATTTCACCTTGCGACGAGCGCAGAGTGCACATGCGTACCTGTGCGCATTTTGTGCCGCTATTGATGGAAGTGACATGGTCTAATGATTAGAAGCAGACAATTGCAAAAATTCATATGCATCAATGTATGAACATGACTTCCTCCAGGAAATATGATCCGGATTGAGGGTTGAAGAGTAAGTGGGAAACAAGGGCAATTGGGTGGCGGATAGGACGGACCTCAGAAAGGTTAATCAGCTAACCTGTTTTGATCGTCTCGGACCCGTGAAAAGCAGCGCAGTACGCTAGGGTCCGAAAAATGACACCCGCTAAACCAATTCGAGGCACTCACCATGCGTTCTTTGGTGATAGGATCCTCAAATCTCGAAGTAATAACATGCCCGTCGTAGCGAGCGTAGCTATGATATCGTGCTTGACGGTAGCTGAAAAATGGACTGTCTAGACAGGTCCACTTTATGGACAGTTGGAACGGCCTCCTTACCGAAAGATGATGGCTGCTTTCCGACCCCCGAAGTGTCGACCGAAAATACGACACCTATCGTCTTGTCCACAACCTTTTCTATTTAAATCTTATACTCTGTCGATAACTTGTGTTTCTTTTTCACTTGCCTAGCCTACGCATCCCTCCTCGCCCCTGAGTATTTTCGGCCTCGACGCATCCTCTCACACTAGCAAAGGGTACCACCGACCATTGATCCGTCGCCTGACGCCTATTATCAGTATGTTTTTCAAAAAGACAGAGCCAGGCATTACTTCTGCCATGCCTCTTCAGAGAGACAATGATGAGAACATTTCATCACCTAGGGCCATCACAGGCCATGCGGAATCGAAAGATGCTCAAGACTTAGCGCCTGTCCAGAAGACGGAAACTCAGGATGTCGTGTATCCTTCAGGGCTCATACTTCTTTTCCTCCTCATTTCTGTGTTCGTTAGCATGTTTTTAGTTGCCTTAGTATGAACACCTTTTTTTAACCAAATCGTGGCGACAAGGCTAACGACTCAATAGGACCGCCTAATCATTACAACCGCAATTCCTAAGATCAGCGACGAATTCAAATCCGTTAACGACATTGGTTGGTACGGTTCTGCCTATTTCTTGACGACATGTGCATTCCAACTTCTATTTGGCAAACTCTACACATACTTCAGTATCAAAGCTGTTTTCCTTGTATCTATCCTCCTCTTTGAGGTTGGCTCTGCAGTGTGTGGTGCAGCTCCTACCTCGACTGCCTTCATAGTCGGCCGTGCAATCGCGGGAGTGGGAGGAGCTGGCATAATGAGTGGTGGAGTAAGTTTGATACAAACTCTCGGGTGCTAATAGACTCTCGAGTCTGAATACTTGGCTAACTAAACCAATCAAAATTGTAGATCGTCGTCATCGTCCACGCCGTCCCACTCCATAAACGACCGCTATATCAAGGGTTATTTGGCGCCGTATTTGGTGTTGCCTCTGTGGTAGGGCCACTGCTAGGCGGGGCTTTTACTTCCAAAGTGACTTGGAGATGGTGAGCTTCAAATTGTTTTGTCCCTGTTCGATGTACTTCAAATTCGCTAACTGCAATATGCTAGGTGTTTCTACATCAATCTACCTTTAGGAGGCGTGGCTTTGACCGTCATATTCTTCCTTCTAAACATACCTGAACAGAAAACCACAAACCTTTCAACCAAGGCCAAGTTAGCTCAGTTAGATATCTATGGGTCCGCTTTGATCCTGCCGGGTTCTGTTTGCCTGGTACTAGCACTGCAATGGGGTGGTTTGACATATGCTGTAAGTCTCAATACCTAATATCGTTCGAAATATGGATGCTGAATCATATCGCAGTGGGGTAATGCTCGCATCATTGTTCTACTAGTCCTGGTTGGCGTACTGTGGTTGGGTTTTGTGCTGGTACAGGTCTACCTTCCTAAGACTGCGACAATTGCTCCCAGAGTCTTTAAGCAGCGTAGCATCGTCGCTGGTTTTCTCTACACAATCTTCAATGGATCACAAATGGTAGTCTTTAGTAAGTCCGCCACATGACTCTGGATGAGGTGTTTTCTCCCTGCTTACTTGAGTTAGTCTACTACCTGCCCATCTGGTTCCAGGCTATCAAAGGACTGTCCGCCGTTGACTCCGGTATTCGCATACTCCCACTCGTGTTGGGTATGGTCGTGGCCTCTATCCTATCGGGCGCGCTCATCAATCGGGTCGGTTACTATACACCATTCATGTATGTTGGGGTCTGTATGATGAGCGTCGGTGCCGGTCTTCTTTACACTCTGGAGATTGACACCCCTACCGCTAAGTGGGTTGGCTATCAACTACTGTACGGCTGGGGTATGGGCACCAGTGCCCAGGTGCCTAACATTGCTGCACAGACTGTTCTCGATAAGAAAGACATCCCTGCCGGCACTGCCCTTCTGTTCTTTGCTCAACTTCTTGGTGGTACCATTTTCGTTTCAGTTGGTCAGAATGTGCTCGAGGGCCAGCTGTTGAAGCGCTTTTCTCAAATTCCTGGACTTAGTCCTGAGATGATTGAGAATAACGGTGCTACATCTCTCGTCAACTTGCCCGAGCCGATCAAGACGACCGCTCTGATTGCTTATAACGAGTCACTCCGACATGTGTTTCTTGTTGGCTTGATCCTGGTCTGTCTCACATCACTTGGAGCAGTGGGCATAGAATGGCGGACAGTGAAGAAAAACTTGAAGAAGTCAGGCGAGAAGAAAGAGGAAGAAGGGACAGTGGAAGCGAAAAGCGATGATGAGACGGGGAGGGGTGAAGCCAGCATCGCGGAGAAGAGTGTGAAGAAGGATGACGATCCAGCCTCGAGGACGACCGTGAATAAAGGACAGAAGAAATAATATCAGTTTGACTAAAGATCAACCTGCTGCCTGAAAAGATGTTAGATTCGAAATAGGAACACTCCTCTCATTTAGGATAAATGCTCTTTTGTAATACTTATAGCTGTATAACTATAGAAAGCCCACCAAAACAAGCCCGCACTCGTTCCGATAGTTCGCGTCTAGTTTGATGATGCAAAAAATTGTCCTCCAAGTAAGTCAGAAATATCTGGTAATGTCCACATACGTGTTGATGGAAGGGCTTGCCTTGACCCAGAAAGTGAGCATCTCGCCTGTTTCATTGGCGGCGCATTTGCCATTGGCGGCCGCATTTTTGAGCAGAATGACTACATCAAGATTGGCTCAAAACTTGCACCCGGTTGTGCGTATGTCTACAGTGTATTTCCAACCGGGATAATGCCAGAACGATTTGATATGGTTCCATGCAAATCACGACTCGATTGCTCATAGGATGAGAGAAAGTGGGACCAGGAGAAGCACAAGCGGCCGGAGTGGAGAGAGCACCTCCCTCAGGGGTTCACGACTGCCAAGGTTCCACGATACCTCCTAAGACCTGAGGCAATCGAGACCCTTTTCATTTTGTATCATGTCACTGGCGATGCGAAGTTCCAAGATATTGCCTGGGAGATGTACACTGCTATTAAGACTGGGACAGAAACAAACTTTGCCAACGCTGCAATTAAAGACGTTACAGTGGCTCAGTATCCGCTGCCCAAAGAGGACTATATGGAGGCATGTAGAAATATCCCCGCCGAATCTGTTCATACATGGTTAGAGCTTCTGGCTTGCGGAGACGTTGAAGTATTTCTATTTGATATTCTCACCGCCTGACGTAATCCATTCGGATGAGAACGTCTTGAACACTGAGGCCCATCCATTCAAAAGACCACATTAGTGGTATTACCGGTCAAGGATGTTACAGTACATGGCTTCCTGAGAACGTTCAATGAGACTAAGCGATGCGATATGTCCACACAACGGACCTATACTGCGCTACAGGACAGGCTTATTAACGAGCATTGTGCATTTGACAGATCGAGAAGGCGCAACATGTAGATGTACTGAACGTGTAGATCGGACGTAGGGAATTAGAAAGAATATGTACTGTTATATATCAAATTACCGCCCTTTTGCGATAATTTCTCGAACGCTTGTTAAATCGCTAGGAGCAAGAAGCTCAAGCTCGCTATAAGACCCATCCGCTGCCACAATCGCATCACCCGGCCGGTACACTCCTAGAGCTGTTCCCCCGCGGTACTTCCCTTGCTCAACCAAGTCTTTCATTCTGCTTGCAATTTCCTCGGGTTTAATCAATGTAGGATCATCACCTAATTTAGCACCTCCTGCCTCGGCAATGCCTACAAGGAGCGGAGTATATACGAGCCTGTGCGCTGATTAGAAACCAAATGCTTTTCCTCCATCATACTCATAACGCAACTAAAACTCACCCTGGGCACACTCCAACAACCTTAACATTAGCCTCCCTCTCAGCAAGAGCTAAGCTCTTGATCAACCCGATCGTGCCATGCTTACTTGCACTATACAAGGGAGTTGAGAAATGGCCGTGCAGCCCAGCAATAGAGGATGTTATCAGAACAACCCCCTTTTTGCCCTGGCCCGTTAACGCCCGAATCGCGATACGAGTTAGCTTTATAGGGTGGCTGAGGTTGACTTCTAGAGCAGCATATTTGTCGTCCTCGGCATCATTCCAGAAACTTGAGAACTTCTATTGGCCCATTCTTGTTAGTAATCATTCTCGCAAGCCGGGTAAAAGTGACTTACGGATTCCCCCACGCCAGCGTTCGCTACGTATACATCAGGGATATCTCCGAACTCGCGATGTGAGCATGAAGGCAAAGCCTCAAGCTCCTTCCAGTTACGCACGTCGCATTTTTGGAAAGAGACGTTGTTGTTTTCTTGTACCAGAGTTTCGGACTCTGGATTGAGCTTTAGATCGGCAATGAGAACCTTTGCGTTCGACGACAATGCAAGCTTGCAAAATGCCAATCCAATCCCTGTCGAACAAATAATTCTCAATACTGACCTTAAATGAAATTTGGTGTTCAGTCATGTGAGATACATACCGGATGCCCCACCGGTGATGACAACAATTTTGCCGGATAAGGAGAAGTCACCAAACATCTTGATATCTCAAAAGTAGATGCGAGAAGCCCAGTATCACCAGAATTCTGGCTGAAAATACACTTAGTGCCTTTATTGGTGTGAGCAAACCTCAGTAATAGCGGCTGGCGCTCACGAATCTCTACACTAATCATTAGGCCTCTCTCCCCGGAAGGATCTCCGCTCACACTGTCGGAGCGGAGCGCTTCCGCATGCTTTCGTCAACCAAGTCCAAGTAGATGCTTCTATCAGCGCCTTCAATCACATAAATGCCTTCGACTCTGTCGACCATTAGCTGTCTCAAAAAAACACGACATTTGATCAAGGTGGCGCTATTATGTTTGCACAACTCACTAAAGCTTCATCAATTGAAACTATCATCAACAATCTATTTTTACGATTCAAGAGACATTGAGTGCACTGATGCATCTGTCTGACCCTGACTCAATCATATGGATTCTCGTGACTAGGTCAAAATGCGGGCTAGCAGGGCGAAGGGATGCGGAAGTGGATCCGCTGAAATGCGCCGCCTGTGATGGAGGTCTTGGAGCGCGTAATCGGGCAGCTTCCTTGAAAACTACTGCGCATTCTCCACTTTGATTCAACTTTGCGGAGCCAAACGGGCGGAGAGTCTGGGGAAGACGGGGAAATACTCCAGGTTTTGCATGTATGCTTTCACAGTGCCTTCCCTTATTTAAATACCATCTGCTAATGAAAGACCTGGCTTCGGCTTCAGCTCTCAATATATGCATTCCCCATCCCGCCTGACCTAGCCACGCTTCTTTGGTTTTACACCATGACCTCCTCCCCCCTTAAAGAATTTCCCCAGCAGAAGCTGGCCGAGGGCTTCTACTTCGGAGAGTCACCGCGATTTCACAATGGGCTCTTGTATTTCAGCGATATGACGGGGCGCAAGATTTACACCGTCAACCCTACTTCTGGCGAGAAGCAAGTCTTATTGGAGGTTGAGAATCAACCAAACGGCATGTGTTTCGCCGCGGATGGTTCCCTCATTTACTCATCCATGTTCGATTCCAAGCTGTATCGTCTGAAAGACGGGAAATCCACTCTGTATGCCGACATGTCTGGGACCATGACCGGCTACTGCGGAGATATGGTCATCGATAACGCAGGGCATGTATTTTTGGATGACACGGGCGCCCGTGTCCTCCATGGAGAAAAGCCCGGTCCTGGCCGCCTGCTCAGAATCGATCCAGACGGAAAGGTTACCTCGGTGGAAGAGAATATTATCTTTCCTAATTTACTGTGCATCAGCCCGGACGGCAAGACTCTGTACAATGCGGAGACATTCGGTTATGGGCTGTATAAATTCGACCTGAACGCCGATGGATCTCTGGGCAAGAGAGAAAAAGTTTGGACCCCTGCAACTGTCGCTGGAGAGAGGGGTGCTTCAGCAGCCTCAATGATTGGCATCGATGGTGGGTGTGTGGATGCTGAGGGTGGCATTTGGTTGAGTCTCTTAGCGATGGAACAATTTGCTCGCCTGGACCCCAGAACTGGAATCATCACACACCGCGTAAGGGTTGACGGTCATGCAACGGCTTGTACACTAGGCGGAGAGGACGGGAAAACATTGTACATGTGTACGAACTCAGTTCCTAAGGGGGAAAATTTGTTTAAAGCCATGACTGAATTGCGAACTCGCTGCGTCGTGTCAGCAGCTAGGGTAGACATCGGCCATGGCACAGCGTTGCCCTAAGAATATATACACTCTTGATTCAAGTTGACAAATTTTAAATCTCGTGAAAACCACAATTATTCGTCCATTATCGAAACGAAAATTTGACATGGAGACGTATGCTAAATCTTCTTCACAACTAAGCAGGATCTTTAGCCTGTTCAATATTCTATTCAGGAACTGTTATACCTAACTAATCCTAACGTTGAAACTCATCAGCATCGTAGGTTGGTATGCTAATTGTCTTGATCTGAGTAAATTCAGCAAAGCCTGTGCAGTATTTACAAATCAGCTCATGCCCTCGGCTAACGCGTTGAATATTTGTACTCACCCCACGGGACACCAAACCTACCCCAGCCACTGGCCTTTGTGCCACCATGTGGCATATGGGCTTCGTCATGGACTGTTGTCGAGTTGATATGCACTGCACCGCTGTCCAACAGCTTGGCAATAGCAATAGCCTTTGCAATATCGGCCGTAAATATGCTTGCGGACAAGCCATATTCCGAGTCGTTGGCGAGTTCTATAGCCTCCTTGACAGATTTGAAAGCAACCAACACGGCTACTGGGCCAAAGGTTTCCATACCCCATATCTTCATGTCTCGTGTGACATTAGTCAGTATTAGCGGAGTTAAGTGTGATCCCCGTTGCTGAACAGAACCACCCCCAAGCAGCAGCGCACCCTGAGATAAGGCATCTGAGACGAGAGAAGCAACCTTGGAGACGTTCGATGGGGATGCACCAGGATGCACGGTAGTTTTCTTAACTATGTCAAACAGCTTCGCGGCGAAGTCGTTAACGACTGTTTCGTCGACAATAATCCGTTCAGTAGACATGCATATCTGACCGTGCTATACATAGCTGTTACTCCATGATCTTAGAAATGTAGGAGATTAGAAAGAACTTACGTGTTCAAAGGCCCCAAATGCTGCTGCCTGAGCAGCTTTGTCTAAATCAGCGTCCTTCAGCACAATTAAGGGGCATTTGCCGCCTAACTCTAAGAGAGCCGGTTTTCCGTACTGAGCAGCCTTGGCAGCAATGATTCTCCCTACCGCTGTACTGCCAGTGAAGTTCACCTTGCGGATACGATTGTCTGATATGAGGGCATCCACGACTACTTCGGCATCGTCTCTACTATGCTGAACAATATTGAGGACACCCGCAGGGAGACCAGCGTCTCTAAATAGCCCACCTAGGAAGTGATGTGCTAAAGGTGAGATCTCGGACGCTTTAAGAATGACGGTGTTGCCGCATGCAATTGGAGTTGCAACCGCTCGAATAGCCAGTAGGAGAGATGCATTCCATGGTGCGATGGCAAGTTGAACTCCAAGTGGTTCTTTGATCGTCATCATGAGGACATTCTTATCTAACTTGCTTGGTAGAACCTTGCCTTCCGTGGTCTGTAATACATGGCTGGCCAGTTCTCGAAGCTGATCGATGGAACCCCCTATATTCAAGTCTTCGACGATGAAATCGTCCACACTAGTCTCAGTCTACCCAATAAAGAGTCAGATATCTCACGTGTATATTATATCAATATCTCACCTCAAGAACTGTTCTGACTGAATCGGCTCGCTCCGCAAGTAATTGAGCAGCATTCAATAGAAGGTCCCGCCGCTCCCAGGGTGAAGTCTTTCGCCAGCTTTCGAAAGCTAAATGGCTACTGTGAATGGCTTCTCTCACAAGCTGAGGATTGGCTCCAAAAGCGCTAGTTGTGTACCCATTTCCGTGATTCACGACTGGAAAGATGATGTCTGATTTGATTGGCTTGTTATCGATCCACAATGGGACAGGCTGCTGAATTGCAGATACGGCGGCCATGGTGAAGTGGCAGGGACTAGAGTGCTACAGCTTCGCTACTCAAAATCTATCTCTAGCCTCTTGAAGTACCCATTTATCCGAACCAAATGTACACAGGTCTCCCGGACCATATCCGTCTTCTCGGATGTCGTTCCTTCATCGCGGATCCAACTCCGGATTGTTGGCTAATGGTCTTGTAATTGGAAAGGCTAGTTGAATATGACTTCATTCCCGACAAAGCGGAATTCCTTCTACTATTTGCGTCTAAGCTAAGTATACTATGCCGAGTTCGCGCCACGCTGAGGACATCATCGCATTTATAAGACGGACACCAACCACGAGGATATTTACTTGTCATCGTGTTACAGGCCCGTTAATCAAGGAGTCGCACTTCTAGTCTTAGGAGAACTCGAGGTCCTTAGTGATACTCCCGTAAACAGCTCGCATTCGGTCAACTGCGTAATTTGTTCTCGCCCTCCAGGGTCCAATATCTCCACATTTAGGAATTTGACTTCTAGCTTGTCTGACATAGGTCGCATCGACAGCCCAGATTAACTGAGACTTCATGTGCAACCCCGTGGGTACCCGTGGTATAACACTTTTGAGCCCATTCTTCTCCATGTGGCGTATGATTCGACATAATAGGAGGGAAGAAGTCTCTGTTCCCAGCGTCCACGAGGCGTTAACATATCCCATCATGAAACCTAGGTTGGGTACATCTTGTAACAACGTTGTACGCCATGCGAATCTGTTAGGGAGGTCAATTTGCTCCCCGTCGATAGAAAAAGTTATCCGTCCACCAATCTTGAGGTTGAGGCCTGTTGCTGTCACTACAATGTCTGCTTCGAGCTCCTGTCCGGATTCAAGAATAAGTCTATTCTCCGTTGCTGTTTTGATACGCCCCGTTTCCACGCTTGCAGTACCGTTCTTCATTGCCTGAAAAAAGTCGCCATCTGGAGTGAAACAAAGACGCTGATCCCAAGGCTCATAGAGAGGCTTGAAATGAGGATCCAGTGGGACATTTTCCGGGAGCTGCTTTTGCACCTCGCCTTGCAGAAACGCCCTGGCGCGGCCAGGGAACAATCTGCAGTACTGATAACTGATATTCAAGAAGAGGATAAACATCAGTCGCTCAATCGTATACGCCCATGAACGTGGCAGAACTTTATGATACCAGGAAGTTCCCAGAGTATTATTGATGGTTAAGATATACGTTGGGCTTCGCTGCAGCATAATGACATGCTGTGCCTTTGCAGCCAGACTAGGGAGGAGCGTAATTGCTGTAGCTCCGCTACCAATGACGACAACACGCTTGTTTACGTAGTCGAGATCTTCTGGCCAAAACTGAGGGTGAACTATCGTACCCTTGAAATTTTCGTATAATCCAGGAATTCGAGGCTGTAAAGGTTCTTTGTAATCGTAATAGCCACTTCCAAGGATAACAAAGCGGGCTTCCATGGCTATCATGCGATTCTCTGGGAGTTGCACCGTAAGACGCCAAGACTGCGCTCTTGAAGACCAGTCCGCTGAAATGACGCGATGGTTGAACTTGATATGGCGGTCGATCCCTTCCGATTCGGCTGATTGACGAAGGTACTTAGCAATTGAATCACCATCTGCAACACAGCGTGACTCTCGCCAGTGATTCCAAGGAAAACCAAACGAAGGTAAATCAGTATCAGAACGAATTCCCGGGTATCGGAAGAGATCCCATGTGCCACCAATGACACTCCGGCCTTCTAAGAGTGCATAGGACAAGTTTGGAAAAAATTTCTGGATATGATAAGCGGTGTTGATGCCAGAGATTCCAGCACCAATAATAATGATGTCGAAGGTATCATCATCCATAGATTTGTGGCCGACATTTTCGGTTTTGTGGATCATCGTACTTTCAATGGATGACGGCAGTCCCAATCATTCGAAGCAAAAGCTGGATGGAAAGTGATTTGCGCTTCCTTCGAGAAGATTAGTGTGTTGAGTCGTGCTCTTCGTTGGTGATGGTCGAGCTATTGCGTTGGAAAGCTCTTGTCAGTGCATGCCTTGAAAAGTTATATTGACCTCAATAGAGATAAGCGGATCCAAATCCGTTCATCACATAGACACCTTTGTGGGAGGTCTATCGACGGATAAGCATCCGAAGTAGGTCAGTGAGACCAAGGCTTGCTTCCGATCTGTTTCCACATTATTGGTTACTTCTAACCCAACGATCTCCTGTATGTTTGCCCCGCTGGATATCTCCAGATTCCGGGGATCCATGCACAGGGCGGCACTGGATCCATGTTCTTGGATCCAAGTCGTTCGCTACCCCGGAGTTTGGACTCTGGAGTTTCACTGATGTCTGGGGAGTAGGTCTGGGAATTAGAGGGCACCGGCAACTATTTATATCAGCTCCTAGATCCCTTCAGAGAAGAAAGATCAAAGTTTTTCGTCCACAATTGAATAGAACATCATAACTTGTATAACTTTCTCCACACCTCGCAATGTCTCCCAACCGTATTGACGTACACCACCATTTCGTGCCCGAGTTCTATAAAGATGGTAAGATGGAATTGATTTGCATGCTAAGTATCTTTTTTAAGTGCTAACAAACGCTCATAGCTGTAATCACCTCTGGAGGCGACCCATCTGGTTGGCAGGTTCCTGCTTGGGACCTTAAGATCGATGCCGATGTCAACAAGAAGTTTCAAATTGGCACCACCATTCTTTCCCTGACAGCTCCTGGTGCTTGCATCCTAAAAGAACCCCAGGCCGCAGCGGATCTCGCACGTAAGACTAATGAGTTGACTGCCAAGATCAGAGATGATAATCCTAAAGAGTATGGCTTCTTCGCCGCCCTACCAAACCTGCTAGACAAAGAGCACACTCTCAAGGAAATTGCATATTCTTTAGATGTTCTCAAGGCAGATGGCGTCACACTGTTCACTCGATATGGATCCGACAATCACTATCTCGGCCACCCGGATTTCAAGGATATCTGGGATGAGCTCAATCGCCGGTCTGCAGTAATTCTAGTTCACCCTACTCACCCTGTGGACACTGCTCAGGTGAGCGGGTTGCCTCAGCCGGTTATCCGTTACCCCTTCGAGACGACAACTACCGCCCTGGATATGATTTACAACAAGACCGTTAAGAACAACCCGAACTGCAAGATTATTCTCTCTCATGCTGGAGGCACCCTCCCCTACTTGATTGGTCGACCTACAAGCATTTTCTGCAAGACAGAAGAAGAGATCGCAGAGTTCTGGGAACAAGCTCGTGACTTTTATTATGATGTGGCTGTGGCTGGAACTGAAAATGTTCTGAAGATCTTGGAAACGTTCGCAAAGCCTGACCATATCCTGTACGGAAGTGACACGCCTTATGCGAACGATGACATCATCAACTTCCACACAACTCGGCTTGACAAATATGAATTTGCAGACCCGAAGATGTGGGACGCGATTAACAGAGGCAACTCGTTGAAGCTATTTCCAAGACTGAAGAATTAAGATGCAGCGCAAGATAGGTGCAGACAGGTTGAGCCGGATGGATGCAGTAGTAGTCTAAATAGCCTGCAAATTGATACGGCAGGAAATAAATGTCGAGAGGAATCATCCATGTGCTCAATGATATTGTTAACTTGCCATGACGAAAAATTTCGGTGAATGTTGGCTTGCATTGCTTGAGCCGGCCACAGCCCGCCAAACAGTGTCATAATCTTCCGTGGTGAAACCTGCGGAAGCGTATCCGATCTAGCCCCAACTTCCTGACGGACAGAAAGGTAGCTCCCCTCTTGCCATACCCCGGGGCAAATTGCTAGCAAATGGGGAGTATTTCCCCGCAGAACAGGACCCAGAGACTTGAGCGATGCCCAAGTAACTCAACTAAGGGGCTGCTTTAATGATGCAATAGAGCCCACTATCGTGCCACCAACGACATCCTAATCTGAGCAGTCCTTGCACTTCGTGTTAAAGTACTCATCACAACGTTAACAACCATGGGTTCAAATCAAGATGAAGTCACTCAAGCCTACGTTGTTGATCATGTAGGGGGCCCTTTTGAATTGAAAGATATCGTTCTTGACACAATTCGGGACGATGAAGTCCTGGTCGAATTGCTGTATACAGGCTTATGTCACACTGTAGGTTCCTCCCGGATCTAAATGAAGCTGGCGATATTCGTATCACAATTAACGTATGGATTAGGATATCGTAGTGAAAGATGGCGGGATGCCCATTGGGGCATTTCCGGCTGTCCTGGGCCATGAAGGTCTTGGCATTGTTCGTCAACATGGCCCCAATATGACTGACAAGTCATTGAGGCCAGGTGATGTAGTCATCCTTTCTTTTCATTCATGTCAAGACTGTGACTCTTGTCGTGGAGAAAATTATGGCGGTTGTCCGCATATGACTGAAACCAATTTCATTAATACCGCCCGCCGGGGTGTTGACAATAAGTCTCCATTTTCTCTTGCGGACGGCAGACCTGTTCATGGGCAGTTCTTCGGGCAATCTTCTCTCAGCAAACTTACAGTGGCTACAGAGAAGTCGGTAGTCAAAATCAATGCCAAACCAGCCGACCTCTCATTTTTAGCACCGTTGGCCTGTGGATATCTAACAGGTGCAAGCACTGTTCTCAACGTGCTCAAGCCCAAGTCGACCGATAAAGTTGCGGTTCTTGGAATGGGCGCGGTGGGACTGGCAGCGGTGATGGCAGCTAAAGCACTCGGGGTGAATGACATAATCGCCGTCGACATTGTCGACTCGAAGCTACAGATTGCTTCCGATGTGGGCGCCAGCCACACCATCAACTCTAATTCCTTTAAGGATCTCAATGAGGGAATCAGAACCACATTTGCCAACGGTGTCGACGGCATAGTAGACGCTACTGGAGTCGTCCCGGTTCTCAATGATGCTGTCAAAGCGCTGGCGCATGGGGGAACGCTAGCCCTAGTAGGGGTCCCGCCTCCCAACAGATCTATCCAAGTTGACGCATTGGATCTTTTATTGTCGTGTAAGAAAATCATTGGTGTTATCGAAGGTCTAACGAGCCCCCAGAAGGTACGAAATCTACGCGCGAACGGTTTTGCGTTCAACGTTCTGCTCCATGCTAACCTCCGTGCCGGGGATAGTCTATACCCCAGTTGTTAAACCTCTACTATGAGGGCAAGTTTCCCATTGACAGGCTAGCTACGGTCTATCCCGCAGAAAAGCTGAGTGAAGCCATCGATGATTTTAAATACGGCCGGGTGAGCAACCTCAGATCTTTCCACACTAAACTGTTACCGATTTGGCACTGACGTATAAATTGACAACATGCAGGTCATCAAGCCAATATTGTCATGGGCATCTCTTGGTTAACAAGATCATTGAGAATGACACTATCATAAGCCTATGTAGCAAGCAAATATTTGAATCTGTGGCTGTCGGATTTGGCTGGTGGTCCTATTTAAGAAGCACGCAAGCTCTTCATGCTAAGACGGGCAGAAGAATGATCGTGCGACCCCAATCCATTGCCCCGCTCTACTCTTGGCACTCTTCTCTTGCTCCCTGAAACTTCGCCAGTACAATGCCATACCTAAACGATTTCTGCAGACTTTCCAGCAATGTGATCTTGCGGATGTGCTTCCGCTAGCGTGCTTTGTCGACCCAGCTGACTCGTAGCGTCCCAACCCAAGCTGGGAGCTATTGGCTCGCATCACCAATGGTGGAGAGGCAGACGACACCAATCCGTCTAGTTTTGGCTAGGGCGTCTCGGCCATGGGGAAGAAGTGGTAATTAGCGAGATGGGTATGGGGTCGACCTGGAGAACCCCGCATACACGACGTTGTGTCAATGTGAAAACCGGTAACCAGTAAGGTAGCCTGCTTATCTTGACTTGGGGTGAGCTGGGATGGTGTACATCCTTTTTCTGGTCAAAGCCCCTGAATCCGCGCTCTCAACCCTCGCGCTCCTATCGTCTCTAAGTCACCTATTCAATACTGCCACAAATGCAATCATCGGAAGCCTCGGGGGAGGCGGATCAAATCGTAGTCATGGAGCACATTTCATCCCCGTTGCATGATGAGGACAATGAACCAGACCAAACCAGAAAGAAGAGGCGACGTACTGTTCAAGCCTGCGAAGAGTGCCGCGATAGGAAGCGCAAGTGCGACGGTATGAGGCCCGTTTGCGGCTCCTGCTCTCGGAGACCGGGCCGCTGCATTTGGAATGACCATCGTAATACGAAAGGGTGGAGTAATAAGTTGAGTTCCCTAGGACGCTCAAAGGTACGAGAGGCTGACTAAAGTGCGCAATTTGGCAGCTATGTTGAGAGCCTTCGATCTCGCATTAGAAAGCTAGAGTCAAAGTTGACTACGGCTCAGCAGGGTGACGACCAAACAACAGTAACACAACAGTCAGAACAATCAGCGACGGAAGCCGGTGGGATTGCCAGTGTGAATTCTCACACCGAGAGTGCTAACATCGGGATTACTCTCGGTGCTAATAATTCCACCCGTGACGAGCAAGTTCTACATGACATGCTCCTTCCAGATCCTCCGCTTGAGCTCGGGAATGTAGCAGCATCTGATCCTTCTCTTGCGGCTCCAATATCACCATCACCATCACCATCAGTATTTGCTCCTCCATCTCTTGGCCTCTCCAAGCCGCAGGCGCTGCGAACCCACCGACCCATAAATGTAGAAAGGCCCAATGACGGCGCCGAGGATGATTCGGATGGTGACTCTTCAGATAACGGAAGTTTGGACGCCGTCGGATCAGACAGCTTCGTCGAGGGTCTCGATGCTATGGGAGTTGTTCATCCTACTGCCGACAGTGCAACGGGACGCCCCAGGAGGCCATCTGGGTATTTTGGCCCGTCTAGTACGGTAAGCCTCCTGGGAGATGCCTTCAGCGCAATCAAACAGAGAGCCTTCTGGAATGGATCATCTCCATCGGGGAGTTGGGACTCGGGAGCAGCAGATTTACACGACGATGCCACCAATGCCCCCGGGAAAACAATGAGGCATCATGCGGTCCACAGCCGTGAAGATAACAAAAGCCAGAGCAACTTCTCGGGATTACGATATACTATTCCTATCAGAGCCGAAGCAGACGAGCTGGTTGACAGTTATTGGACTTGGGTTCATTCTCTTTATCCTTTCTTGCACATGCCGTCCTTTCTAGAGCGCTACCGTTCCATCTGGGCATCTACGAAAGATCGACAGCCGAGCGGTCTTAGTAGTGCACAAAGTCGACACCCGACGAATTACTACGAGGGGATGAGTGCGAAACTCTTTCATTGCATGCTAAACGTTGTTTTTGCCATGGGCGCGCTCTTCAATCCGTCAATTGCCCTTCAAGATAGAGATAGCGTCAGTCGGGCCTACTTCAACCGCGGCAAAGCGCTTGTGGACCTGGATGAACTGGCTTGCGGAAGTACTGCTCTCGTCCAGATACTCTTATTGATGGGACAATACCTCCAGAGTACAGATGCAGCTAGCAGTTGCTGGAACATTGTTGGCTTGGCAATTAGAGTAGGTCAAGGCATTGGTCTTCATCATGAGCCTGAGTGCTGTCGTGGGATCACCTGCGCCAGCGGCCATCACAGCCAGTTAGAAAGGGAGATCCGTCGAAGAACATGGACCTGTTCCATTATTTTAGATCGGTTGGTACCTCTTTAATTCTGACTCACATGTTTAACCTTAGGTTTAATACTGGCACAGTGTCCTATCCTTGACCTATGGCCGTCCAATGATGATTCACCCTACGATGACTCGGAATCGACTTTGCCTCCCGGAAGCCATAGATGACGAGTACCTTACCGGACCAGGGCAAAGTCCTGGAAAACAACCTCCGGACACGGTCAGTCTCATGGGTTGCTATATTGAGGCTGTGCGGCTGCAGGATATCATTGGCCAATTTCTGGCTCCAATCAATCAAGCTGGGTTCGACAATCTCCCGGATCCGAAGGCTGGTTCAGGCAGAGTCCTCAGTTGGTATGAAAAAGGGAATTTCGACATGAAAATGATCCTGGAGATCGAAAGATGTTTAGATGACTGGCGCCACAAGCTTCCGATATATTTACGTACGAAAACTTACAAAAATGGCCATTCAGCGGGCCTGAAGCAGAGTCCGCACAGGCTAATGCTTCTGGAAAGACAGGCAAATGTGCTTACAACGAGGTAAGACTCGTAACCGTACCCACTCTGTTACAGTTCAGGGCTGACTGTGTTAGATTCTTACACGCTCGACTAACCCTTTTGCGACCTGCGTTGTCTATTCTCTGTCAAGCACCATCTTACGAGGCAGAAGGAATCGATGAATATGACTTCACTGCCAGTAGCATGACTCGAGAAGTGGTTATCAAGGGTGCCAACATGTGCCTCTCGGCGACAGAGGCCTTGGTGAAACTGATGACGACCAATATGGATCCTCAGGCCGATCGTCTCTCAGCACCATGGTATAACGTCTTCTGTAAGTCTTGAAAAGAAAATGCGCTTTGCTATTTCGGTTTTATAAAGCACGTG